GTTGTGGTTCTACTTGTTTTGATCAGGCTCACTGAAGACGTCTCCTATTTGCTTCTGATTGTTGCTTTCTCATCACCCTGCGATCTCTTTTACTAAAATTAAGGATATTACCTTGATCGAGTGGTCTTCTTTTTGCTGATCTTATTGTTGCCTGGTCTCCTTGGAATTTGTTTAGGTAATATGCAAAGTTTTCGCTAATCCTGTCTTTTTTAAGTCTCCTGTTCATTAGATCTCTCTCGGTCAGTATTTCGATGGCCTCTTGGATCTTGCTTTGCTTGTATCTTCACCACATGTAGTCAACCTTTCGGTCGATTTCGTGTCCAGTTCGTGCAATGTGTTCCGCTATTTCGCATCTTTTCGTATCCATGTTCTTGCAGAGTATTTAAATTTTCTTGATTCGTAGGCCGATTTTTCTTCCTGTTTCACCGATATACTTCCCATCGGTAGTCCAAATATTTGCTCATAGATACTGCCGTTAAATGTAAAATACGTGGTCCTCAATGTCGGGTTGATTAGTCGTGTTAACGATTCTTTCCGTATCCGTTCTGCCTCTAAAATGTCCTCTTCTCGCTTCAAAATCTCCAGCAAGGTGCTTACCGCCTCGTCTGAGATGTTTGTGTACATGAATTGTACAAATGAATTTCGCTAGTTTATGCATTGCTCCATGCTTGTTGTTGACTATTAGTCTTAGGGGATTTCCTTCCTTGTGTATCTTCGGTAATCAGTAGGCTGTCGGTCGCCTTGCATCATTTTTTATTAAAGATTTAATCATCAATCTGTCAATTTCCCCGTTATTATGCAATTCCTTGAGCATATTCTTCAGTGTACCGTTGATCTTCGTGGTTGGATCCTTGCTTAGTATTTAATAGGTGTTCCGGTCACAAAGGATATATTCCATTTTCTCCTTGTATTGTTTCTTGTGCACTACAATCGTCGCCCCTCCCTTATCTGTCTGAAGAACTATTTGATCATTCTTTTGCAATTGTTTTTGTATACCAGCCAATTTGTTCCTGTGTATCGGTACTTGATGTGTCAGGATTTGTGGGATTATTTCTAGTTCCATCTCCGGCCTTGTATCTTCTGGATATTTATCCGTTATTTTGACAACTTCCACCAGAATATCACTAAGAATTTTACCTTCATTGCATAGTTAAAAATGTAGCCCCTTCTTTAAGAGATCTGTAGTTTCAGAATCAAGAAGGATTGAAGATAGGTTTACTACCTTAGTCCTATCGTCGTCTGTAGCAGTTGATGCCTTCAATAAAGAACCATCAAAATTTGCCCGGGTTTGCTTGGTCTTGCGCTGTCTTATTATCCTATAGCTAAGCAATTTCTTGTCATGCCGCTAATCAGGTTCCAACCCTCTGTGACTTATGGTCCGTCATGCTCTGGTGTTTTTGAAAATCATTTAAAGTGAGAACCCTGCAGACGACTTCGGACAAGTCACCGCTGATGACCTAAACATCCAAAGACGGTATTCCTAAATGAGATACCCGAATGGTTCACGTGTTTGTTTGACCTAATGGTCTGATTCCCCTCTGGTCACCTTTTTCAAGCGAACTCAACCGAGAGTCAAGATTCAAAAGTTAAGGTCATGGATATAAAGCCAACCGTTGAAAAAGAGAGGTGCTCTTCAATAGATGTACATTTTACTTCTTAAGGATGAGTCTTGTATATTATAATCACCTTATGGTGAGCAGACCTGGGTCGTTTTTCAAATTCAAAGTCTTATAGATGAATTTTTTGTTACGATATAATTAGAGATCTGGAACCTTTTGAAGTGATTTTAAAATTTAGTTATTAAGATAAACGATAGTGGCCATACGACTTACCAAGCATTTCACAGCCAGATCTGGCCGCAATCACCATATTTGCCTGATTTGGGTCTGCTTCTGGTGCTACCACTTTAATAGGCATAGAGCCTGCTATCGCTCGAGCCTCAGCCTCCATCTGCCGAGAGGTTGGTGAAAGAAGATCAAGCTTTGGGTAGGTCTGTCCCGCAGTTGCTGCTGCAGCAGCTACAGTGGCTGCAGCTGAGAGGAGGTCTGATGAGAAGAGAGATCCAGAAGCTGTTCCAAGCGAGTCCCCATCTCCTCGGATAGGGAAGGGAATTAATGATGCGAACGAGGTGGAGAAGGAGGAAGAAGGGGTTGTGGTTGTCGTGGAAGTAGAGCAGGAGAGACAGGAGGAATAAGGATATGATGTAGCTGAAGAGGCAAGTTGGTTGGCAAGAGAAAGACTGGTCAGTAGTTCTGAGGCAAAAGGTGAAGAGATGGATGCGAGAAGTGTCGAAGCCGTAGATGTAGGAGAGCTTGTATAAGAACACAAGGGAGAGGTTAACGGTGCGGTGGTGGCGGTGGCGATAGAAGGAATTGGAAGAAGCAATCCTTTAGAGATGGGCGTTCCAACAAGTGACCTTACAACAGAGTTCTGACTTCTCGAGGCAACTGGTGTGATAGTATTGGAGTTGGAAGCTTCTAGACTCAGGCCTAGAGTCCTGCCACTTGAGATCGTGGTAGTGGAAGTAGCCTCATCGATAGTTGAGCAAATAGAATTCGTTGTCATAAGGGCCACATTAGATTGTAATCCCGAGACGTTAAATATAGCTGTGCTGGGCGACAAATCACCAGAGCTGGTTGTTAGCCCGCTTAGCAACCTTATGGCGGAAGGTGTAACGATAGGAGACAAATGAGCCGCTAGTTGATCACCTGTTGCAATGGGAGAAAATTGGGATATAGTGAGGGCCAGACAAAAAATTAAGAAGCATTATCATACAAGTTCCGGTCGTCTTAGGTTGCATATGGTTAAAAATAGTAGAATTTTTCCAACAATCATATTAGTAAACCTCACGTTTCTACTGAATTTCTCTATCAGACATTTATCACCTTATTCATTTACTGATAGTGTGGAAAACAAACTTCCGCTAAATATAAGTAAAGGAGTCGATTCTAATGGCCGAAGTATAAGTTTGCCTCATTGACAATCTTACTATAAAAATGTGATATGGGAGGGGCCTGGACTCCCTTGGAATCCACCATTATAATGTGGCCAAAGGGCACACGTAGCAATGTCGTGGTAGTAACGTGTCGAGATAATACACTGCACTACCTGAGTTAGATTCCCAGTGGGGGTGATGACGAGACCTAGGCGGGGTCTGAAATGTAGACCAACCTGGATCAGAATACATTTTGGGGTGCAAGGCTAAATGAAATTCACTGGAAATGTGAGGCCTACTAATATCGTTGTAGAGAAAATTCACCTATCACCGTATGCGACCTAGGTTGGCTGGAACTGTTATTCAATACTTGTTGATAGTACTACCTAAAACCGATTTACTTTTAAAAGTATAATAATAATTGGACACGTGAAGAACGACTCACTAAACTACCCAGAAGTGATATGTAAGCGGCCTAGAGAGAAAGCGACTCACTCTGGCATGAAAGACTTTCATAGCATAGATGAAGATACTTAATTAATATGATCCGAAATCTCACGTTAGCCTTGGTTTCCTCCTAGGCGAGATTGGAGTCCACAGTTTGCATGAACCTTAAAACAAAGCACTTGCTAAAGTCTGTGAAAATAGTTTGGCAGTTCGGTAAACCTAGAAAGTAACTGGCTTATTTATTAAACGGTAACGCTTAAAAGCAAACAAGACGGCAAGGGAAATGCTCTACCAAGGTCACCAAAGTACCACCGATATATAAAAGTAATGCAAGAGTCCAAATCCGTTTTGAAGGAACTTATCTTAGTCCCTGAAATTAAAAATTATTTATAATATTTTACAGTAAATATCTCGAGTAAATATACAAGTATGATAGCTCTCTGGCCACCAATAAAAATGCTTATCTAGTGTCTTTTCAAAATCGAGGAATGAACTTTGGCTTAGCTGAGTCAGGTTCATCACACATGCCGTCCAAATAGTGAAATATTAGTTCTGATAGCATTTTCACAATCTCCCTCGACAAGGTTATTGCCTGACATCTTACTCCACCCAAACTATACGTAGCGTATACGAATTATAAACGAAGATTGTTGCGAATAAAATGCAAGTACAAGAGAGTGACAATTGAGGTGAATTCGCTCTAAAGAAGTGGAATAATTTGTAATAAGCAATAAAAATCCAAAATGAATGTTAGTTGTAAAACAATCTTGGATACGTTTTAAGTATGATTATCTAATTAATTTCGCTTTATCCCTTGCCACAAAAGTACTCTCTGGCCTACTTACAGCTCTCTCAGCATTAGTGTGTAAAAGAGTTTAACGACAAGGAGGGGCAAAAACACGACCTGGGCAATGAAAAATTTCTCCAACTCAGAATTCTGATATCAATGAGGAACAACTGATAGGCGGAATAAGACGTATGCTACTCGATCCAAAAAGATAAATCAAATTGTTGATATGGAGACAAATATATGACGATCACAAGCCCTGGGTAGCATTTATATCGTGGCCTCATCGAGTACAATACAACGGCCTTGCAGGAGATTTTATACCGATAAATGAATATCCTGGAGGCAGAGAGGATTAGGAAGGAGTCTCTAACACACTTGGAAATAAAGACTACCTACGTCAATAAGGAAGCAGAAAGACACACAATAGTGGATATGACTACATTCCTGCGAACTAATCCAGTCAATATAAAGAAAATTGAATATTCGGGTAGACACGAAATTAAAAAACCTTCACAAAATTACCCAGACAAAATGAGAACGTAGTTAAATTGAATTGCTCGGGAGTTTACTTCATAACATGCGGCATCCGTAAACAGGAAGAAAAATCAGCATACGAATCAAGGAATATCAAAAGCTCTGTGTGAAAATGGATACATAAAGATAAGAAATAGTGGAATAAATCGCACAAACTGGACACGATATCAAGTAAAAAACAACATAAAGAAGGGCCTTGCACAGTTAAAACGCAAGTAAAGGGAAGATTAGAGAGGCCATCTATATCGTTGCTGAAAGAAATATAATGAAGAGGAGATTGGGAGAAGGCGGAGTTAGGGGTAAATATGCGTAATATTCGAAAATCAAGAGAAGATCCTTTCAACGAGTGTAGCCTGTTTAAGAAAAAACAACTTGGGGTGGCGTGGCGGCTACAGGAATAGAGAGATGGATAGTCACAAACGTCACAGGAATTCGGTATTATAACCAGCAAATCGATTAGATATCCATTCTAGATGCGGCAGGAGATCAGAGATAGAGCACACGGTTTGCTTAGGATAGATGGTTTTAACTATAGAGATTGACCATGGAGAGCGCCTGATATATTGAAGTTTGAAAACCAGAGCGGAGGCCCCATGGTAAGATAAGCAACGAATCTCCATGGCCGGGGGAGATTCCGGATAGGAGGTCCAAATGTAATAAACAATTCCTGCAAATTGAGAGGGATAAGGGCAAGGTAAAAAAGCTGGTGTGATAATGCTCCACTAAATTTGCCAAAAAGGTATACATCTAGATTATCGAATATAAACGAGTCAGAATTTGTGATAAGGAGCGAACAGTATACCAGGATGTGGAGCAGGTACCAGGATATACAAGGATAATGAGTGATAATAAAACCGTTCGGCAGAAATCTGTTAATCGAAGGTGTGAAGACCAAGATGGTGTGGTCTTTTGTAGTCGCAGTCTCCTTTCGTTGTATAGAAGTTGTTTGACCTTGTTTTCGCAACTTGGTCATATTGGTA